AGTAATGAATGGACGATTACATAAAAGGTGACCAGCAGTCACTCTACACCTATAATGATCCTGAGCAATGTGACGTGCACAAGACAAAGTTCAAATTACTATGTATAAATCGACATTACACAACCGAAACAAAAAAGCGAAGTGTCCCTCAAAAATAACTTACATTGGATGGACTAAGGTTTGTTACGAAATAAGGGGAGAAGATTACTAAAGTGGAAAGCGAGAATAAATGCCATCGGATCACTATACTATACAGAGGGCTCCAAAAAATGTATACTCTCGGTCAGCAGTTTAGTGCAATCGACATCGAGTAATCGCTAATGGGGGTCACTTTTTACTCACATAATCGAAAGAACATGTAACAAAACATTGAACTAAAACAGCGACCCAGAAGTGCGGCTGTGTGTCGCTCCGTTCCAAATATATACACTAAGAGAGTATACATTATTTGGACCCCTTTGAACATAAGCACCACACGCATACAACGAAAGAACCTCTTTTGCTAGTGGTTGTCTAAAAAATATTTTAAATTCAATTTTGTCATCAAAAACATTTGAAGGCTGGACCAATGATAGTGGTTTCTTTGGCACAACCGGAAGATGTTTTCGAACAGATGCCAGAACGCGATGTACTTCCACCGAATCTTTACTCCATCACGTTTTATACTCTCTGCTGTTTAAAAAAGTTAAGTTTCAGAATGCGTTTAAGGCAAGCTTTATTAGAATTTAACTTTACTATACGACATTTTAACAAAAAGGTTGAAAGGTTCTCATGTTATTTCAGCAGCAAAAATGTGAATAAATTATTACGACTTTCAATATTGGTCTAACTTTTCGAATAATGAAAATTAAATCAGAATAGTCCTAGGAAGAAGAATATTTTATTCTCTTCTTTCTCGTTACAACCAGCTGAAATTTTGTTAAAGACGAGTAAAAGAAGGTACTTCAAAATTCTATTTGGCTGAGACGCAAAAATGACTTAAAGAAGGAAATAATGGTTAAAAAACAAGACGAAGCACCTTTCCAGAAACTTATTTTTGTTGTACTGATTTCTGTGATTTTGAGATATATTATTCTGCATCCTTGGCGTAACGATTTTTCTATATCAACATTTTTTCTTGGTTCTTAATATTTTCCAAACTTTTGTATGTACTGAATATTATCCCTAAGCAAGAAAACCGCATCTAATTAAGAAATAGTTGAAAATCACTAAAGAAATATGTTTCTTATGTTTTAAATCAATATGAAATTGCTAAATTCCTAGCATTGATATGTTTTATGTATGAGAAACTCTTTTTATTAGGCTTAGTTAGGCAGTTTAATACAATGTAACACGTTTTGGTGTTGCAAAACGTTTGAGTATCATATTATTTATTGATTTCTTTCGTTAACGAAATAATACTGTGTGTGGAGTGTTTTACCATGTAAAGTACCATAAATGCGGTTGAGTAAATAATTTATATTATATTATCATATAACTATTTTGATATTTAAAATTTCGAAAAATTTTACTTACTAGATTACTTAAAAATATTTACTTAAGGTAAAACGCTAATTTATTCATTTCAAATGTATTGGATGAATGTGGATATAATTTTTGTGTTCAGAAAAAGAGGGATTTGCATATCTCATTGTCCAAACTTCTTTCACTCAACGAGCTGGAGATACGGTAGATGTAATACTGCGGACACGCTTCAGGTGTTTTGTTCTATAAAGGCAGGGTAGCCAATGTAACACGTTGTTATCAACTCTAACTGAATGAATTTAATCCGTTATGTTGGCAGTGTTACCTTCCAGCTTTAGCGCTCAGTTTGCTATTGAGTGCGGCCACATAAACTTGTGAAATGTGAATTTGGAAAGTGCGTGAATTGTGACGAGTGAAATTACTGAAGTTCGAGAATGCGGAACTTCATGGAAAGTAAGTGCCAAAACTGTCATAATTAAGTGGAATTATGATACAAGACATTGATATCTATTATTGGTTCCTGTTAACGCTTTCCGACACGATCTTTATCAGAAACAAATGGATGTGTGCAAAGACGTCCATTTTCGACTCGGTTTCGTTCGTCATATTCTTCATCTTTGTGGTATTTCAAATATTACGTTATGAATGTAATAAGAGTAGTTATTGCGAATCTATTCAATAATGAAAAATTTAGAATTTCACTTTGTAAATACAAAGAAACGCAATCGTAATTATAGAAACATATGTTTTTTAATGACCATAATAATATGCTTGTGTAAGTTATTAAAATTTTAAAGTGCTTTTTGAAAAATTAAGATTATTTACTATTTATTTGAAAATGAATTTTTATGATTAAGTTTGATCTGTTGGATTATGAACCTTGATTTTAAAGGATAATTTAGAAAAAAGAACAGAAAATGAGAGGAATCAGGAGTTGAAAGCAAAGTAATAATAAGAAAGGCAAAAACATCTTTTTATGATACACGAATGCGACAAGAAACATTGATATGCTTTTATTGTTATTGTAAACAGATAGGGTTAAGAAGGACTGTGCTGATGGTGAAAGGAATTGATTTGATTTTAATTTTATTTATATTCGTTCTTGACTATTGTGAATGATTTCCAAGTAGTTCTTAATTAAACATAAACTTCGAATATGATTTCAAAGATAAGTTCCATCAACTATAGGCCACCTCCATAACTTCTAAACGGTTTCTTATATCGAAATTCAGTTTTCATTCAATGATGGGGAATCATGGGAAAGTAATGTGCCTTAGAGATACTGCAAGAAATTTTTAGTTTTCGAGAATCATATTTTATTTTTTAAATGGAACGGTTTTTTTCACTAGCATTAGATAGATCATAAACAGCTGAATACAAGGATGTAACGTATGTTTGTTTCGATATTATTTTGAGTATAAAATGATACTTTCTGACATGTGATTTTAAATTAAATGTACAAGATTTCCTGTAGCAACCCTGGCAACTATCGCATTTACGGAAGGCTGCTTTTGCGGCAACGGCACTTTTGCAGGGAGAGGCTGTGAAGGTCACCTCTAAAAGCGACAGCTGCGACGGCTACTACAGAAAATATGCACTTTTAATTTAAAACCTCGATATTGGTATTGTGATGAAATTTCGTTGACATTTACAACGAAATAATTATATGAGTCAATGCGAATAGTATTGTTTATTAGAATAGCAGCTTTCGATGGCTTAGCCATCATCATTTTTCTGCTGTATGGACGTCACAAACCAAGTGGTCGTTTGTGGCTTCGTCACAAAACGTTTTCTCGCACAGATGTCAAATACCCGAGACTTCCCAAGAAAGTTATTTCGTAAAATTAAGTTTGATTCTCTTATGATTTTATAATGTTGTTATACAAAAAAATAACGTGTGCGTACGTACTAAGTAACGTACTAATTTGAAAACTCGCTCGTTTTCCAGAGATGTACTCTTGCAATAAAGCTTAACATTATATACTAATTGCATAAACTACTATTAGTTAAAAAATATTAGGGGTTATGAAAAGGATTAAACACAGTTTACGGCGGTCCAAGGCAAAGGTTCGTGAACCGGCGCTTCAAACCGTGCCAGCGCGTTCCCTCTCGACCGCGTTGGTAGCCCTGAGTCTTGCGATAGGTATGCAGCGAGGGCGGACGAGGCATTTTATTTGTGCTAAGGCTAATTCTGCATTGTTCGAGGCTGTACGCGCCCGCTCCCTACAAGATGGCGGGAAGTGCCGAGGACTCGCCAGGAGGCAGGCTTCACACCGTAACGCATAAACGCGACAATTACTTAATTTGCCGTCGCGCGCTGTATGTTTAATTTAGAAAGTGATGCGTCTTGTGAAATATAACACAGGAAACCGCGCGAAAGGCACAACAAAGACGCCATTATGCGAATCCTTGGCTTGTGTTCAAGAGCACACGTGCTAGTGGTGTCTAGTGCAGCTTTCATTTAATTTTGGATGGAGTTTTCATAGCCTTATTTTTAAAGTATTTAAATTGTACCAATTGTACTGTACATTGTACCATATTGAAATTTCTCTCTCTTAAGTAAATGTAATTAATATATGTGAAAAAATATTCTCTGGTACCATGAACAAATCTCAGTTAGCAGCAAAATGGTTTCATATTATAAATTTGAGTTTCTACTTAGGTCAATAAAATAGACATGAGAGACAAATCTTTTTCTTATGAAGAAACATTTTGTTGAAAACGTGAAGTTGATCTATGGAATCATTTCTATATTTAATCTCGGCATATTTTATAAAGTAAATGGAGATATTTTGTAAATAAAATTATTTATTGAAACCGTCAGCCAAGGGAGAATTATCTAAAACGCTTCGGAGTATTTTGGATGTAATATTTTAATTTCATAACATGGTTCACTCAATAACTCAACCCAGTGGTCGAACTAAGTTGAATACCATTATATTGCAATGCATATATAGGAACGCCTGCCATAAAAATTTTATTGATTGGAAAGGGAAGAGTTAAAATTTTCTACCCATGATATCGATCATGTTACTACGTTTTCGAATCAATGTCTATTTTGAAATTATGAGCCTTCAAAACTTTTCATATTTAATTTCCTTCGTTCTAATTATGTAACAGCTTCTTCTTTTATTATCGAGCAAAACTCCCTCAATTTAATATATAGTTCAAATATAGTATTTATGGATGAATTTGGACAGTCGATAACCGAGAGAAATAATTGCAAACGTGCAGCTCCTCAGCTTTACATCGACAATTTTGTTAATTTTGGAAATAGAAAGATAATACATAGAAATACCTCAACATTTGTTGAGACAACTTTAAAGGAGCTCATCTTAAAACAAACTATGTCCATTGAAGAGTCATGTTCATTATACAGACACGCGTACTGGGGACCATCGCGTCTGAAAACGGCGCATCGAGCAACGCAAACGAAGTAATTGCATCCGCTACAACTCTTGAAAGCAAAACGAAAGCGGTTGTTAAAGTGCATACGCACGCTGCGAGTACACACACACACGTCTTAAAAAGCACTGATGCCGTCGTCGCGGAAATACGAGAGCAACGCGTGGTCCGGCCGCGCCGCGGCCAACGTCAACAAGACCGGGGGGTGGGGGGCGTCACAAGGTCGGCGTGTAAAGGCGTCGTTGCGCCGCCGACGTCATATTTGCAGACGCAGAGCGGTGTCGGAGTGGGGTGGGGTGGCAGGCAGAAGTGGCAGCAGAGGGGAGGCCCTGGACAGAGACATCGGAGGTGGGAGTGGGGATGGTGGTCGGAGTAGCGAGTTTGAGGCGAGATGGGGAGACGGGGAGCGAGGAGGAAAAGGGCGGGAGGGAATGGGAAGAAGAGGGAGGTGGGGACGGGACGAAACTGGGAGAGTGAGGTGAAAGCGAACGGGGAGTGAGGCTGGAATGTTGGGATTGCACTGGTCGGCGGAGAGGTATAGAGCACGGGCGGCGGTGACGGTTTAGGGGGGGCTTGGATTGCTATATTTAGGGACGGGGCGTGGCTAGTCCTGGGGTTGAAGCGAATACCGCTGTTGCAGCGCATCTGGTGCACGGTGGAAGAGTCGGCGCGAGCTGCCAGCGGACGATCGCTGCCATCTTCCCCCCCCCCGGGTGCATTTATATATGCACCTGGAGTGCGAATATGGCTGACAATTACCTTAATCTCTGTATCCGACGAAACTTGAACCATACCCGGCTCTCCCCGTGCATCCACTTACTTGCAGTTTTTTTCGAATCTAAATTGTTAACGGTGGGGCATATTTATCGACATGAGTCCAGCGCTTGGCCCTAAGGAAGTTTCTGTATACAGGATGGAGAAGAAATGATCGCACGCCATCCATTTGCCCGGTGTTTAGTTCTCTGTCCCGGCACAAGTCTAGAATTTATCGGAGGAGATTACGCCAACCAGCGATCAGAGCAATTGGCCTCTTAAACGTTTCATCATGAAGCTACGTAGTTTTGAAACTTAGCTGATGTCCAAAACGTCAACCTCAAATCACAAAATATACATTATGGATACGTAAAGGAGATACTTTTGATCGCCTAAATCAAGATTCGATTCTCTTTATGGAAGGTGAAATAGATTGTGACGATTTAAAAAGAGTTAACTTACAAACGGAATAATTTACGTACGTGTATTTTGCTTTACACAAGTTACGCGAGGGACACTGCGGAAATACTCCTCTCCCTCTTCCAGAAATTAGGATTTACCCCGGTTTTGATTCTTACCAACTCCAGGAATTTCATTATCACTTCACCACCGTTCTACTCGAGGTTGTTCAGCTACTGGGACTGCAGTTTGTTCATGAAGGTTTGACAACAGGGGATTAAACTGCGTTTGCAAGCAATATGAAGTGTCTGTAAATCATCAAAACCTTAGACATTAGGCCGTCTTAAAATTTAATTAAGATTGTGCGATGTACCTGACCTCTAAGTGAATGAAATCTAAGTTTTCGCGTAATGTTTCGGTAGTTTTAATGATGCACTGGGGTTTGTAGTAATTATACTTCTTTCTTTCTGTGCGTGTCAGATTATTGTCAAGTTTGGGGCAATTCATTATAAGAGGCGAATTGCAGGCAAATTAGTATACGAGGCGAACTGAAGATTCATTTATGGCTTCCCAATGAATGTTAAATTATTCATAAATAAATGTTAAGTTATGTGACTTTTGTTTGTACATATCATTGGGATGGGATTTAACCAACCTCCTATTGCACAGCTTTCATTCTTACGGCGCCTCCTGGAAGTGAACACGACCTCGCGGCTGTCGAATACGAACCTATTGATTGGCTGTTGAAGATGCAAGCTGCGGCGACAGCCAAGTGTGCATGACGGGAAGCCGTAAATACTTCGACGGAGAGAATCTGCGTTGCGTCATGGCGTCTGACGGATGCACCGAACAAATCCAGGCTTTCACGATGCATTAGTTTGGGTCAGCGATCAAAATAGTGCGCAGGATGTGAAATAAAATAGAATAGTTCGCGAACACACTTGAACATGCCCTAAAATAAATGCAAGCTCCGGCGAGTGGAACAGATGTCGAGGAGGAAAGGGTAAAGAAGCGACTACTTGTGTAACGGAATACATTGGTTACCCAATGCTGTCAAAGTCAGTTTTTTCGTAAAAGAATAAAACCTTAATGATTACATTATTAGATTGATAAGATCAATCAGGAAGTAAGAGGAATCATGTGAGTATTACCCCGCCAAAAATTGTTTAAAATTTAATTTTGTGGAAATAAATACACTAAAGGTTAAGAAACACGATTGTGAAATATAGTTAACTATCTTGAATGTTATTGATTGAATTACTGCTTCAAACTAAATAATGTAGTTTTATTACAATGAATAATACGATATGGGTTCGTTTCGAGCTGTTCCTCGGAACGCTGCTTGTACTTTGGCCTTGTTAGGTATTCGGCAGACAATGTTTCAAGTATTTAAGCATGACTCCAATTACCTTCGAGCAACCGTTCAGTCCCGGAGAGCCTCGATTATTGAACCAACGAACTTTTTAAAAAAAACAGAGCTGCGATATGCGAGAAAAGAAACATTTCTTAAAGTGCATCACTAATTATAGCATAAACATGATTTGGAAATTTATCGCGAGATATAGTATGTATAGATATATCAGAATTGCATTTTACACAACTTTCTTAACAAGTGGTATGAGTTAAATTCTGGATGGCACATGCAATTCGCCTAATTGGAAAACCGTCACCAAAGAATCTCGATTACCATAACAGGAAATTAATAAGGCTAGACTTAAATTAGAATTATTAAAACTAAAGTCGTGCAATTAGAATTATGTTAATTTGGATGTAATTTCAAAGAACATTGTTTCGATCTAATATAATTTGATGTTTAAAACATTATAAACATATTTTTGACCCTTTTTTCTTACTCCATCCGTTCATGAAACATAAAAATTCCTTTTTAAGAATTCACTTTCAGTCTGAAATGTGTGCAGCTCTCTTAATAATTAAAATAAAAATTGGGCATTTTACGTATTAAAAATAACTTTATTTATTTCTTTCCTCAACAGGCACCTATGGGATATGCGAGGACCGGCTTGTTATGTTGCTGCTGGAGAAATTATGGTGTGTCTGCGCTTATGTCCTCGGCCACCTGGTAAGTAGTTCACTTTTACTAGAGATTTTGAGGGATACGAGACGTATCTAGGCATCCAGGAGCCCATTGCTAGCATACAATGTGCGCCCCTGTCAAGATACTTCAACTTTGTATTATTCGTTTTAGCAGATGTATTCTAAATATAGCTCCTGTGAGTGGCGCGCGAATACCAAAGAGTTCAAATTGATTTTCTGCATCCCTCCTCTCTACTGTGGGTGAGGAGAAGAGTAAAGCGGAAGTACTGCCGGGCGGACACCGGTTCGAGACCGACATCTGCGTACTAATCGCGGAATCCTCCCGCGCGTTTGGCAGCCACCCTGCTCTGCCGCTGCGCTGCGAAAAAAAAGCCGTTTATAACCTTGACGGCGCGGAGCGCCACTATAAGCGCTAGCGCTGCTTTCCGCGATCCGATGCCGCGCGCCGCGCTCACTTAGTTGCGGCCGACGTTCACAGATGGCGCTGGCATCGTTGCGATGTTCGCGCCGCGCCTATTTTCTTTTTCGTTTTCTTTTTTTTTTCCGCGACGCACGCTATTTTCGCCCGGCTTTTAAAGAGCGTGTTTTGAAGGCGGAAGAGCGTTGATGCTACGATTTCGTTCTAATTGAAGCGAAAAGGGAAATGAGGAATAAAAAGGCGTGAGGCGGGTCATTATTGCGTTGAGAATCTCTTCGTTCCGTTGGGAAAGGTATGTGGAAGGGTAAAATATTGAGGCATTAGTTTCGCTGAACATAATTAATTTATTTTGATGTCAATTTTATATTTTTCTTCAAGCTGTTCCATGATGAGGTATGCATGTAAAACTATGAGGGGGGGGGGGCTAAAGAAAATATTTGTGGTGGTATATCCACGAAATTTTTCTTTAAGCAGCAATTTTTGTTTTAAACATTTTGAAGTCAATAGTAAAAATTGAAATTAAAATTAAACTACTGCATGTTCTTCAAATTATTGGGGACGAGATATGTAGCCGATATGTAATACATACATTCACAAAAATGTTCTTATTAGTTACAACATATTTCCTCTCGTTTTCATTTACATTATTACATTAACCAATTTATGGACAGTGTCATTTTCTCAGATTTTTTGTGGAAAGTATGTTTATATTTGTGGCACAAGGAATTTGGAACAACCCAAAAATGTATTTAAATGTTACTTTAACCCTTTACTTTTTAATACGTGGGCACTAAGTGCCTATCAAGTGCATTCCTGAGAATAATTCACCGTCGGTGAGTAGTTAGTTTTGTGATTGTTGTAAACCGTTTTATTATTTCACATGGAAATGCCGGAACATATTTATCGCTCGGAAACATTTCAGTCATCACATAAATAATTTCACTGCTGGCCTCAAGTTGGTTTCCGAATAATGAAAGTGATGTGAGTCGCGGTTGACTTCGACACCAGAGCGTGTGTCTGAAGAACGAAGAAATGATTTAATGTCAGCCGCTTTAACTCAAGAACATACTTTCATTTCCAGCTCCTCCTTGATTTTTGGTACATAGAGAAACATGGCATTGAAAAAATGGGCAAATGTATGCACGCAGTTGGCTTTACATATAGGTACATGCGTCTAAAACCAACATTTCTGAAATAAAGTAATAAATGTGTAAAGAAAATGCGAAAGCTGTTCCTCAGAAGACAGAAAAAATAAAATGGATGCACCACAAAAATAATTCTACAGTAACTTGGCACTGTTATCACAGGTGAGCTTAGTGCCTTCGCTTGTCTCTTTTTTTCTCGCTTTTGTCTCATCTTTTTCTCAACTACACAAAGTATCTGAAATAACTATTGCACAAGTTCATGTCAAAAAACTGATAGATGGCGCGAATTTTCGAATTGAATCGCGGAGTACTGCGACGAGCCGATTGTAGAGACAGATGACGTGGGAGGGGTGGGGGGAGGGAGAACCTTTCCTGCTCGTCCTCCGTCTTCCCAGGCAGAGAAACGCGCGGGGGCGAATATGTAAGAGCATAGTGGGCACCAATGATATTGACGTAAACATCTTTCATAATCTTTTATCAACGTCAGAATCTTTCTTGAGTATTGTTAGCATCCTAGTAAAGAAAATAGTACAAAATCCCCTTGCAATGAAACATCCAATGGGCAATTTGTGCATAAAATTAGGATATTATGTTAATGCAATTCTCGAATGGCATTAAAACTGAAATGCCGTTTATTCTGATAGAAAGTTTCAAACAAGACATAATAAACACTTCAATCAGAGAAATTTCATATACCAATTTTTATACATTTACTGAAATATATACGTTCTGAAAATAAAAGATATTGACGAAAGAACCCATGAAAACACAACTTTTTAACAATCCTCTTCTGTGATTTTGTGTTGTAATACTTCACTTGCGTATGTTCATGAGAGTAAAAACATAGTAGGAAGCAATAATATACGCGAAATACCATAGAATTTCATATTAAAATGCAATGGCTTGTGTTGGAGAGTGCGGCTCTGCATTCGTGGCAGCCGGCACTCTTAATTCCTCGGCTGGAAGTCGTGGTACACCCGCGGGAGATGCCAGTACGTACCAGCGTTGTCGTTTATTCTGATAGAAAGTTTAATAGAATTCATGACAGACCTTTTAATATGACAAATTTCATACACCAACATTTGTCCATTTACTGAAATATATGGGTTCTGAAAATAAAAGATGTGGACGAAATAATCGATGGAAACCTTATATTTTACAATCCTTTTCTGTGGTTTTGTATTGTAATATTCGTATTTCACCTATCTATATTCATCGCTAGAGGGCGGATTTTAATGAAATGTCATTTTTTTCTTTTCACTTTAGAACAATGCCGTATAGTATAGAAATAATTTCATGTTATGACAAAATGAAATGAGCCACTGTATATCTAATTTTTTTGCATTTTTCATCGATTTCGGCTAATAAGTCATTTTTGCCCTTTTCCGTCATTTTTAATGCCTTTTCCCCCTGATTTAATCGATTTAAATATAATTTTAATGGCATTTGCTTCAAAAATATTTACGAGATGCATCAAATTTTTTCCACAGAATTCCCAAGTAGCCCATTCGATTTCTTAGCTCAGAAATTGCAAGGTTCCTGAGACGCTTACCAGCGCCGTTGTCGGTTCCACCGATTTCGGGGCAACTAAAGACCAAAATGTTCTGATACAGAACAGTTTGAAAGATGAGTTCACTTGAACGAATAGAAGCAGCGTCGATGACATCAGTAACATACCCAACACCCTGAATTGCTCATACGAACTGGTTTTGATAACATATTTTACGTCATTTTTCTTTGCTTTTAGGGCATTTTAAGAGCATTTTAATAAATTTCATTTTTCTTAAAACATTTTAAGAGCATTTTATTGATCATTTTTCGAGATGTTTTAGTTCAAGCGTGTGTAACATTCAAGGCTACACGGGCCACACCTAAAACCTTTAATATGAGTGCGGGCCGAATTTTCATTACACATGCGACGCGCACCTGACTTTCCCGTGTTTTTATCTCGGTACTTGTATTGGGGGCTGCCCTCATACGGGGAATACGGGGAGGGGGGAATGGCCGTACCATGCATAACGCAGTGAAACACTTTGGGATGATTGTGAATTTACGAAATCACTAGAGAAATATCCTTAAATCTAAACATAACCAATTTTTACATTAAGGGGTTGTTGGCCCCGAGAGGGCGCGTGTCCACTCGTCATGGATGAAATGGACTTTTACTTTTGACTAATAACTTCCGCGTACCACTAGTTGGACAACCCTGTTTTAGGTCATTATAATCCGCCCTCTATTCACCAGAGTAAAAACATTGAAGGAAGCAATAAAACACAGAAAATGACAGTTTGATATTCAGATGCGTCTTGGCTGGAAGGGGGCGCAGTACGTGCCAACGAGAGGTGCCAGTACGTACCAGCGATGTCGTTTATTCTGATAGAAAGTTTAATAGAATTCACGATGGACCTTTTAATATGACAAATTTCATACACCAATCCATTTGCGGAAATATATTGGTTCTGAAAATGATAATGTTGACGAAAGAACCGAAGTAAATGACATATTTTTAACACACTTCTTCTGTGATTGTGTTGTAACACTTCACCTGCCAATCACTGTAAAACTCTGCAGGAAGCAATAAAACACAGGAAATGACCGTGAGTTTGATATTCAAAAACAAAGGCCTTGTACTGCAATTTATTCAGAGCTGCCTCTGACAGGTCATCAGCTGTTACGGCGCCATCCAATCGGGAGTTTACACGGCACTATGGTGTGACGTGTAACCGTCCGATTGGATGCCAGCTGTCGGAGGCAAGCTGAGTTGGTAGTGCGCCAGCGCGTTGGGCGGCGACGGAGGCGCGGTCCGTACCAGCGAGAGGTGGCCAAGCTTGGCGGTGAGCGAGGTGAGGAACTCGCGCTTCTTGCGGGTCGTGGCGGTCGGAGGCTTGAAGCCGCGCTTGCCTCACGATGACGCAGTTGCTGGTGCTGGCGCTCTTGCGCAGCGGGACGGCCCGCCCCGCCCCGCCCCGCCCCCGCGGCGCCGGGCCCGCCCACGGCCCCGACGCCCATCACGAGGCGCCGCCGCCGCCTGGCTGAAGGCGCGCTGCAGGGCGCGCACACGTTGCCCGTGCTGCGGCTGTGCGACAGGTTCATGGCGGCGACGCGACGGGCGCAGCTGCGGAACCCGCGCGACGATTAGCCCGCGCAAATCGCCTCGAGGGCGGCCAACCCGCGCACTCGGAGCGACGCTCAACTGAATGCCGGCTCGCAAACGTTGGCCTCCTACCCTCCGCACGCACAAACGTTTTGCATTGACATTTCATTAAACCAACAATAAAAACGAATTACTATACTTGGATTAATACATTCTCCCCTCAAGGGTACGAGCTTGAAAAGAAAGGGGGAAACTGCTCTTCCAATCGGGAGCTTCAATATAAAAAATTGAAATGGTAACGAAGTTCCCGATTGGAAGACAATCTCTCTTCGTTCAGCTCGTGACCTTGAAGGGAGAGTTTGATTACGTAGGCACAACAAATGTTGAGCCATTACAATCCCTAGCTTGAATTCGGCTCCCCGTTGTTTCCGAAGAAACGTTAGAGTGCGAGCGTGTGCGGGACGTTTCGCTCGAACTTGATCGCTCGTCGAGTGCGCAGATCTCTCGCGCGAACTCCACCTGAAGATCTGTGTGGGGCGGAGCGGGCGCCACGGTGAAGCCCATGTGTTGAACGGTACGGCCATCGTAATGCACGTACGGTCACGCGTAAGGTCCCTATTGTAGTGTTTTGGGGTGTGAGATAGGGCATGATAAAAACGTACATGTTCCAGATATCCAATGTCTATTTGTGATAAATAGTTCATCCTGCCCACATGACATGGGGTAACCCTAACGTTTCTGCTTCTCTCCACAATACTCTACCACATCTCGAAACACTAACTGAATACTAATCACTAAGCTGTTTTTGCCTCTTTGCCTATTTTCCCCCTCGAATGGAAAACGCAATCTTTTGCGATACTTTTTCATTTTCAGGCATTACGAGCATCATATGTCGATTTCATAGTGCCTATAAATGCATATTTCACAAAAGTCTATTTGCTGTGTAAATGTCTAAATGTTGCCTATTCTCGTCTTTATTGATTAAAATTCAATTATTCTTCACCAAAAACTTAAAAGGGTTTTCATTTTTATTCTGCAGAGTACAAAGAAATCAAATAACTTTCAATGACTACCTTTCACTGCCGTTCCGTTTTACTGCCACTATAGGGCATGTATTATTATGAAATACGTGCAAAATCAGTGGTGGTAGTGGTGTTATATTTTAC